CTTCCACCAACACAGGGCCAGGAGCTGAAGTTGCCAGCGAGTGGAGACTAGATCTTTCTCTGCAGAGGCTCCTAATGAGAGGTGAGTGCTGAGCCCTTTATGGAGAAAGCACAGGGGCAGAGTCCAGGTCTCCAGACTCTCCTTCCCCTGGCATGATGCCCAAGGAGGTGAGGCCTCTGGTTATGACAGGAAAGATATTTAGTGATGATGATGGAATTAGCAGAACAAATAGTAAAGCTAATCCCTAACATTGTTCCTAGATTTGTGGATTTCATGGACCTGTGTATTTAAAAAAAATAGGGGAGACTATCAAGAGTTGATTTGATTTTGGGTTTTCTTTGTGCCTTTCTTTCCTGATAAGTAAAACCTTTTTCTCCTATTAAATATCTACTATCATCATCATTTCATAGAAAAAGGAAACTTTAACAATGAAAGAGGAAAGGTACGATTTCAGAATCAGTAGAAGTCTTTAGCTCCAATAAATGTAGTTCCATACAAAGTTTTGTTATTTAGTTGTTAATTTTCTCATTTTGCCACAAACTAGTGAAACTTTACTAAACATTGAACTTGGGATTAAATCCGTTAAAAAAACCCAAAAAACCTTTGTTGCGTCAAAGCTCCTATATCATACCTGTCCTAATGTTATCCAAATCCCATCAGCTTATAATAGAAGTGATTGGCTCCTCCTCAGTGACTTCACATCCCTAATTCATTGCAACCCATGGGAAAAGATTGTGAACCTCTCTTTGAATAAGCTTCTATTTTTTATCTTTTTAAATCCAAAGTACAGATTTGCACAAAACACTCAGAGAAATTGAGAGAATAAAATAAAACAGTGTCCATGAAGGAATGCCCACTTCTGCCCCTCTCCCCTCCTTGCACTGTCTGCAGTGGTACCAGCAATCTCCTGCTCAGCATTATCACCAGTCTCAGACCTCTCACGAAGTCCAAGGTCATCAAAAAGAGGAACACAATGCTCATTCAGCTCTAGTCAAGCTGATATGTCAAAAGTATAACCAATAGAAACCCAGGGATAGCCACAACTGTGTACAGAGAAGATTTGAGGGTCACAGCTTCATTCTTAACATTGGTTATGGGAGCAACAAGAAAGAAAAGCCCATGCTACTCAGTGGCTTCTGGAAGTTCCTGGTCCCCAACGTCAAGGAGCTGGAAATACTGCTGATGAGCAACGAGTCTTATTGTCCTGAGATTGCTCACAGTATTTCCACCAAGAACCTCAAAGCCATCATGAAAAAAGAAACCCTGCTGTGGGAAGCCATTCTCGCATGTGATTGGGCACCTCCCTGATTGCACCTTGGAATGCTGCCCCCCTCGACCTTCATTGGATGGAATTTTCCCCTGAATTTCTTGTTCCCCAATAAAAGCCCACTCCCTGGCATGCTCTCTCTCTCTTCTGCTAGTCCTGAGTAAGCCTTGCTGCCCCACCGGCTGGTTGGCTGGTTCGAGGTGAGAGCCAGAGGGGAGAGCTGTCTCAGACCTGGTCATAGAAAAAGGTAATTGAGTCTGTGTGTGTTTATTTTGATCTCACTAGTTAACTTCTATGCCACAAACCTCTTTAATGAAACCAGCATGCTGGTTGCCTGGTGGAATTGGCGCCTAATGAGGAGGCATTTAAGCTTAGCTAGATTGAGTGGGAGTGCACTATAAAGATAAAGGAATTGGTGACAATTTTGGGTCACAAAAGTACCTGGAGGTACTGAAGGAATGAGACGTTAAATTAATTAAAATGGGAAATTCAACTTCTATGGATATGGAGATGTATCTGACTATTCTAGACACCATAATTAATCAGAAAGGAAAACAGATAAAGAAAACTCAGTTATTACAATTCTTAAAGGTCGTAGGCGAATATTGCCCTTGGTTTTGTAAACAAGAATCCCCAAATTTACTTACTTGGGAGAAACTAGGGAGGATATTACAGAAAGTTTGCCTTTCTAATGAATTACCTGGAGGCATAGAAAATATACAAAAAACATGGACAGCTCTGGAAATTTGTCTTTTTGAATATATGGGCCAGAGTTCATGGCCCCCTGAAGATCTATTGAAAGGCATTCAGAGAGCTATTAGGTCTATTCAAATGGAAAATCTGCCTGAGGCTAAGTTAATTTCTTTTCCCTTGAGCTGTTTAAAAACAAAGGCTCTAGGGGCTAAACCAAAAGTTAGGAATGTGACTTTAAACTTGCAGGATCAAGACAGCCTGCAGGGAGATTATAGAGAGGAAGGTCATAGAGCAGAAACCTCCATAGTCATAGAGAGTCCTCCGGAAGAGATAGACGATCCTCTTGGAGAGGAAAATCCGGAAGAAATTCTTAGAGAAGCACAGGGTCCTTCGCCACCACGTGGCTTAGAAGCCCAATTTCAAAATGGTGACTGTGGAGATTCTACCCACGAGTTGCAGTCTGAGGGAGAGGAATCAGACATTGAAATTCAGGACTTACGGAGAAATTTTAACAGGCTGCATTTAACATGGCTTGCCCAGGCTATTAGAATTTGGCCATTATCTGCTAAAAGCACAAAATTTAACAGGTACCCTGAATTAACAATGACTTTTCTTACCCCGTTCCAGCGAGGTATTAAGAAGGCACAAAAGGGAGTTCATAACCCACTTCAATCTAATGTATGAAATATGAAATGTCAAGAGCTTTGTAATGTTGTGAACAACCAATAAAAAAAAAAGAAATATTCGAACATAAAAAAAAAAAAGAAGGCACAAGAGGTGGGGGAAAATATTAGCGGTTTTCAACTTTTCCCAGTTTTTGAATAAGTTAATGACCAACACCAAAGAGTTAGAGTTCATGTTTTAATCCCATTTAAAACCATTAAGGAATTAAAAAGTGCATTCGAGACCTATGGTCTGAATACACCTTTTGTACAGAACTTAATTGATAATATATCCTCACAACCACTTCCACCTAGTGGTTGGATTTCGTTAGCCAGATCTTGTTTGAGTGGAGGGGATTTCTTACATTGGCATTCTTACTGGACTGATTTTTGTACTGAACAAGCAGAAAAAAATAGAAAACAAAATTTACAGACCCCAGTAGAAATGTTTTTAGGAACGTGTGAATTTGCTGATTTGGAAAGACCGTTAAATTATGAATTTGTAGCGTATTATCAGATAAGTGACTGTGCTAAACGTGCCTGGAAACAAATAGTCTCCAAGGACCAGTCCAATCTAGTTCTTACCAGAGTCAAGCAGGTTGCCAAAGAGCCGTATTCAGATTTTGTAGCCCGATTGTATCAGACAGCAAATAGGTCTATTGGAGACCCGGGAGCGTGTGAGTTTATTGTTAAGCAATTGGCACTTAAAAATGCGAATAAATATTGTCAGCATGTTCTTAGACTGCACCGTAAAAAGAGAACAGTTTCTGAGTTTATCCACTTGTGTTCTGAGATTGACTCCACCCATTTGCAGACAGTAACACTAGCCGCAGCGCTGAAAGAAACCCTAAAACTGCAGGAATTAGTACGGAAACCCCGAGGAAGATGCTATCTCTGCGGGAGAAATAATCATTTTGCACCCGAATGTCGTGCGTGTAATTTTAAGTTCAGGGCTCCATTTACTGCTGATCATAGATATTGCAGGACTCAACCCCACGTGGCAGATCAAGATGGTGTGGATGAGTCCACTTCTTGTCATCATTTCATTGCACCGACCATGGGGGCCACCATCTTTATTTTTACTGGAGCAGATAAAACAGTTTCCATACAAACCCCTAATGATTTTCAAAAGCTATTAGGAGATATTAATTGGCTGAGGCCATTCTTAAAACTAACTACTTCTGAGTTAAGTCCTTTATTTCAGATATTACAAGGAAATCCTTCTCCAACCTCTCCATCAGCTAACCTTAGAGACTAGAACAGCCTTAAAAAGGGTTGAAAATGCAATTAAAAATGCACAACTTACTACAGTTGATCCTAAAGAAATAGTGTATTTATTTTTTTATTATTTTTTTTAAAGAGAGAGTGAGAGAGGAGAGAGAGTGAGAGAATTTTTAATATTTATTTTTTAGTTCTCGGCGGACACAA